AAACCTGGAGCAGCTGAGGGTCACGCCTGCCAGCACATGGAAGAAACCTGTCTGAGACTAAGGCCAAAGAGGAAAGCAGAGCTGATCCAGCTGTGCGCAAAGCCTTTCACCAGCCCAGTTAAATGAACCGCCAAATTCCTTCTTTTGTTTACATCAGTTTGAGCTGGCTTTCTTTCTCCTGCAACTGAAAAAATCCTGAAAAATAAATAAGAATTTAGGTCATATTTGCTCCAATTTAATGTTCTAGGGACATTCCATGCAGCCAGTCTGCTGGAGAGAAAGTCCACCTCTCCCAGCACATGCTGACCACGGGGTGCTGGATAACTTAACCCACATCTCAGGTTCCCCATCTGTAAAACGTGCATGAGATTAGGGCTGACCCTACAGAGCTGTCGTAAGCATTAAATGAGTTAGTGTGCAGCAGTGTTCAACATCTAGTAAATACGTTAGCCATTAAGATCATATATCAGATTCTGTATTTAGAACAAGGAAAAAATACCACATCAAAAAAAAGTATCACAAGTTCAGAATAACAGTAGCTGATATGGGGAAGTTTAATCCTGGTGAGTCTAGCGCCACCGCAGGTACAGATTCAGTTACAACTGCTACCTTGTTCAGCCACCAAGAGATCCAAACAGATGTCGGACGCACAACAGAAAAGGTGAGAACACTAGCACTTCGTGAATTCATATCAGAAAAAAGTTCTTCAATATGGATTCTTTTCCCCAAGTGTATTTTCCTTAATCTTTCCTGATATTTGTTCAAGATTGTACCAAAATAACTGGCAGGAGGTCTGAAGACCATTCATGCTGACACCTCTCCAGTATAAAACATGACATCAGCGGGAAATGCCCCGAACGGAGATGAGGAGCTCTGGGCAGGACAATGTTAGGCTGAGCCCTGACACCCGCTGACCCTTCCGTCATGAAGCACATACGGAAGAAGAAGACATGCTCTTATAAGGAACTTACAGCTTAGTTAGCAGAGGTAACTAACAGCAAAAAAATGAAGATCTAAAATTAGTAACGCAAGAAATCACATTCAGTGCTGACAACAACCAGGTGGGTTAAGAGTGAGGAAGGCTCCATGCGGAAAGCATGCCCTGGTTAAGTGATAATCGAAGTGGGCAGCAGAAATGAAGAGAAAGAGCTTCCGAGGTAGGGAAATGGAAGAGGGTTTCACTGACGGGTGGTTCATGTTGGGAGACTAAGAATCTGGGAATACTTTTGAACATGTAAGGGCAAAAATGTCATTTGCTTTTAAATTACCACTTAAAACATAACAACTCCCAAGTACTGAAGAGCCTAACTGGAAACAAATCCATCTGCTGTCCTTTATCAAAAAGAAATCTAATTGTGGTAAAATACACATGCCATAAAATTTATCATCTTAACCATTTTTATGTGCACAGTTCAGTGGCATTAGATACATTCACATTGGTGTGCAATCCATCACCGAAACTTTATCGTCTTACAAAACTGCAAAGTCTACCCTCATTAAACAACTCCTCGTAAGTGCCTCTCCCCAGCCTCTACCTTCAATCTCTATTAACTTGACTACTCTAAATATCTCATGGAAGTGGAATCACACGGTATTTGTCTCTTAGTGATTGGCCTGCCTCACTCAGCATCATGTCCCACTGTCCTTTCCTGCACTTCGCACCTAACATCAAAGCCTGTGTCCAAACGGTCCTACACCCTCCCAGTGTTTCCCCGCCTCAGAGTGAACTGTCTCACATCATCCTCAGTAGCTCCTCCAAAAAGCTTTAGGCATATCTGAAGAGGCTGTGGACGTGTCTTCTGTCTAAAACACCAACGACTTAAACCCACAATTTTTTATGATAAAACTATATGAAAGGGGGGAGGGTATAGCTCAAGTGGTAGAATGCATACTTAGCGTGCATGAGGTCCTGTGTTCAATCCCCAGTGCCTCCTCTAAGAATAAGTAAATAAGTAAACCTAATTACTTCCCCCACCAAAAGAAAAAAAACTATATGAAAGGAACTAATAAAATTAGTGAATCAATAAATTTGTGCCTTTTCTCTACATACTTTCAAATCCCACCAAATCTTCCCAAATCACTCCTCCACGAATTCATTCCAGCTTCCTAATAACCAGCAAACTGTTAAGCTCCCACTTTCTGGTGGCCCCTACCTACGTTCTGGGTGGTACTCATTTCACACTTAATAATGTCCATCATTTTATTTTCTAATGGACTCGTCTGCACATTTCCCAGCAAAATGCTAAGGTAGGGAAAATATCATATATATATTTTTAAATAAACTTCAAAGTACTCAGTATACAATAAAAAATTTTAAATACGATAGGATGGTTAAAATTCGTTTAAATTACCTTAGCCTTGGTACGTCCAAGGGCCGAAGTGGTACGGTCAGGTCCAGGAGTTTAATA